TATAGACTAGTAAATAGTGGGCATGCTTTGCTTTATACTCTTTCTTCTCCCCTCCCCCAATGGTTTGCTTTACTCGATCGGACATGTACAACAAATAAAAACCACAAATACATGGACAGTCCCCTTAATTTGTCCTCAAATTTTAGCACTCTATCTCAATTCTGTTTTATTTGAATCCTTCGATTCCAATTTAATATACCATTTGAATATAAAATTATTTTTGTGACTTTTTAAATTTTTTATTTATGTTTCTCTGGTTATTATCGATATTCTTTCTTAAGAAATTGAAGATGATGATAATTGATAATAATGATTTTGGATGGGATAGGATAGATATTCCATGTCCTACCCCTATATACTGATTACCGATTAGTCACACATCACTCTTCTCTCTTTTTTTTGTGATTCTCTTTGTAAATATAAGATAGATGTTCTCTTTGTCTTCAACCGTACGTTCGTTGTGGATTGTAAGGTGCAGGCACCAGCTAGCTTATGAATATTAAAGTCCCTTTTTCTATTTTGTTTGCAAGCAGCAAGTGGCAATGCCTATTCAACTTATTTTGCTAAATGCTAGTTGTATAGTGCTACCACATTCTTTTCTTTATTTTTGCTTCAACAATTTCCTCATATCATGTAATCTCTCAAACATTATTAAACTTTTCCAAAATCGGAACTCCGATCCATACGAGCTTTTTTGGGTGGTCTAAAATTAATTTGTACGACTATATATAAATCATCTTATTATAATAAGTAGCTAATTAAAGTTAAATTATTTTTAAATATACAAATATAATTTTATATTTGAGATACAATACAAAAAAAAGTGTGTTACATAAATTAGTATATACTGAAAATAGCTAAGTTTGTAGCTTAAAAAAACAGTAAAATCATCAATTCCGCTGGATATTATATATATATCAGAGGATAAGATAATTATTACAGATTGTTGTCCCTTGCACAACCTAACAGGAATACCTCTAGACTTTCTATCAAAGAGGAGATGCATGTGTTAACCCAGTCTAATATAATAGGAGTAATTAAAACTGAACCCTTCACATCAAGAAGATGAAGGTATATATATATATATATATCTTCTCTGGTATATATATAAAGAATTTTCACACCTACGATAGCTGGTCAATTTCTATTTTATCAAATTATTAATTTATGTTAATTAAAAGATTTACTTGTAACTATCTAACATGTAGTATATGCATCGAGTAAATATACCGATGCTTGCGTTTAGTTGCAACTACTTTCTACATTACTTAACTATAAAAATTTAATTTATCGATCATCATCAAACTATATATATATACTCATGCACCCCATAATTAGAAAAAGGTTAAAAGGATATTGTGGAGTGAACAAATTCGTGTCTTATCGTCAGTATTTCCCATGGCAATTATATTCATGTACACTGTACACATAAAGAATAGGAGGAGAATTCTCTCATAAGCCATTTACAAATCACATACACTGCATGCATTGGGAAAAATCCCGATTTAAAACGTGTTTGAATTAGGAGTTGACACGTGGTAGAAGTGACAGGTCAGGCATAATTTTTTTTTAAGGGTAGTCGACGAGGAACAGGTTTGGTTTGAAGAGTTGAGTACTCGAGGTCATCTAGATTATGTGGTGATGCAACGATGAGATCCTGTCTAGCTAGCTTCGGAGGTGTGGTGCCAGTCTGCCAGACACAAGGACAAACTGGATTCATATAATGAAGTAAAATGAACTATAAATTTAAATAAATGACATGCATGTATGGACTTAGTGTAAATATCCATGTGGGTAAGTTTTACCCTTATTTAATTATAAGTACATACTTTGTGGATTCATTCCCTTGATAAGTAGCTAGAATTGGACATTATTTTTCTTGTTGAGAGACGTACGTCTAAATTTCCTTCTTATAATTAGGGGTGACAATTTAAGCCCATATTAATGAAATGAGTTCATTTTACTCATATTTAATGACTTGAATCACTCATATTTTAATTGGTTAAATATGAGCTTAAGCTATTTTAAGAGTCTCTACAAATATGATCAAAATAGGTTAAATATGGGTATCCATATTGACTCATAATAGATCACTTAGTTTTCACTTCCACTCAAAATTCTTAATTGTGCTAAAAAAAATAAAAAAATTAATAGTATTTCAAAAATTCAATTAATTTTCAATTTAATTGAAAAAACAGTTTTTTTTTTGTTTTTGGAAAACAAAAAAATAATAATTAGGGGTAGATTGATGGAAGGGGGGCGCCCTGGGGGTGGGAGGTGTCCGGGGGGAGGGGGTAGTTTTTTTATTTTTTTTTGAAAAAATAGATTTTTTTTATGTTTTTGAAAAACAAAAAATTTTTAGGGGTCGGTTGGTGGAAGGTGGGGGGGGGGGGTTCCGGGGGGAGAGGGTAATTTTTCTTTTTTTGAACCTTTGTGATATATTCTTCTCTTTTCCGAGGCTTCTTGGAGATTTGTGAGGTAGCTGTTTGTCAACTCAACAGACCTTCTTACTCTTGTTTATGATCTTGTTCTACTCTAGAAATAATGTCATATGAGACTTACATTTTTCTTTTGATTCAATTGTAATACTTTAGAGGCTTGTACACGTGACAATCAGATTTTGGGGGTATTTTTGAGTTTATTATAAAATTTTCCTCATTTTATTGTAATGGTTGAGTTTTAGGCTGACTTGTCTTGGTGGGTTAAGACGAGTGTCATCACGTCCATTTTTGGGTCGTGACATATATGTGATCTTTTCCACACATGTTTTTTTTTATAGTGTGAATGAAAAAAGAGCAAAAAGTAAAGAAGAAAATTAAAAATAATTATTTTCCAGATATATTGTAATTTAATTTTTGTATGTAAAAATATTGGGACATATATAATAAATTTTACAAGAAAGTTAGTAAAAAAATAAATTTGACCATTAAAATAATTAATTCAAATTAACTGTTGAACTAAAAAAGACGGAAAAAAAATACATATGAGAAGTATCAAATATACCCTTACATGAATGTTTTTCTCAAAAATAAAACAATTCAAAAAATATATTTTAAATTAATTTTTTTATTTCGTTAGAGGAAAAAGGTATATATGAGTCATTTTAACTCATAACAAAATTGGAAGGTATATCAAACCATTTTCCCTATATTCTGTCCAAAAGCAAATGTTATTTACGAAAGTCAATATATATTATTTTTAGCGTGAATTTAAATATTTTGTTAAGTGATATCTTAATAATTAAATTTTTGGTGAGAATTACATAAGATTATTGCAAATAGTACGTTAGGAAATACTTAGCAATTGAATGCAAAATGTGTGTTTTGCATATAAATTCTTATCAGCTAATCAGGATTAAGTAATATTTAATTTAACTTTGATGTATTTTTATTTAATTTGTGAAACTTATGATGGAACTATTTAGTTTTGATGAAAATATTCGGTGCAAATAAGTATTTTTATTATATATAACTAAGGTAATTCATCAACATTTTCCTCAAAATTGTAGGTATGTAATCGTATCGTAACCATTTGAAAATAAGAGTAAACTACATAAATTTCACTACTTTAGATCCTAATTATTAGGATTTCCGATAATTTTTATATTACTTCCTATATCATTTTTTGTGGTGAGATACACGTATCTTGATCCGTCAGATACATGTATCCATAGGGTTTAAAATGCCGAGATATATGATTTAAGACATTTGAATTAGATGTTGTAACTTATTGCCTTAATTAAAGGAGTAAATTATGGGAAATTAACAAACTAAACATGTATATATGGGTTTCGTTGTGTATTGCTAAGCATGTATATGAACATTTTAATAATTTAATGTTCATTTTATATCATGTATATTTTGTTAAGCATGTATCTTCGACAATAATGTGGTATTGATACATGAAAAAATGTGTAATATTTTTATATTGTGTATCTCGAACAAATAATGTGCATCTCGGACAAATAATGTATACGTCATTGATAATGAGAACGATCTTATATCTAAAAGTAGTGATTTGTGTAGCATATATGATTCATTATGCATGTATTTCAGATATTAATATGAGATTTGTATCCAGTAAAGTAAGATAACTTTAGATATATTATGACCAACGTAACGATATACATGAAAGATGTATCTTAAAAATGTTTTACTTGCAATATTATGAAATTTATATATATAATGTTTGTATTGTTACCTTTAAAGTGATACCTTCTTTTGAATTATTGTACGAAGTTAATGAGAGCGTAAATTTTCATCCATTAAAAAATATGGAGAACTAATAGATTTAAACAATGTAAAAATCCTAAAATCAAACTTTAAAAGAATTAGAGCTCTGAATCAAAATTTATAATTCACAGATTTGTATAAATTCAGAATTTATATAATTTGGGGGAGTGGGCTGATGGTGTGAAGAGAGAGGAAGTAATATGAATTGTTAAAGTCCCATTAATTAAGGAGATACAATTTAAGATAATTATTAAATATCATATTTAAGGGGATTGTGTATCTAATTTAATTTTTTAAAATATATGGTATAATTATTAAAAAGTGATATTAAATGGGATATTTTTAAATTAGAGGTAAAATATGTATATATTGTAGTGAAGTATGTCTGTAGTTTTTCGTGAAAATAATTCTTAGCCCAAAAGCTAGTTCTAGTTAACCCAACTCATGAGGTCGACTACTTCAGAATTGTTAGCCCAAAATCTACCGGCACACAGTGACATCTTCTGGCCCAAAAGAGTTACTTATCTTAATAAGCCCAATTTTTAATTTTGCTTCACGTTCTGCAGATTTGGGGAAATTATCTTGCGATGCAAGAATCCTGCTTCAGTACTAAAACCCTTACATACAAATCGGATCACCATCCTAATCATCTCTTCATGTCCACTTGATTCGTGCAATTTTAGAGCTTTTGAGATTGGAATACCAATCAGAGAAACGGAATTCATCTTGAAATGGCTTTAACCAACTTTATATTGACGGTGGTCGGAGTAAGCGCCGTGTTTTTACTGATGAGGAGCGATGTCAAACAGTCTGCCTCAATCTTCAAGCGTAACGTTCGTCAAATTCGCCATTGGCTCGAGGAAGAGTCAGCTTCTGCCGCTAAGTATGTCTTCAATCAAGTATTTGGTCTGTTCATTTTGTTATATAGTTGAAGTTACTATTTTTCTGCATTCTGCTTCAAGCTTGAACTTCTTCATCGCTTTCTGGATTAAAAATTAGCCGTTGGTGAATCATGAATGGATAGTGATAAACAAAATTAGTGCTCTACCTAGTAGTAATATTGTACGAGGGTTGTATTTGACTGGCTTAACACAATGCACTTTTAGTTATGTCTACTTCTAAGCTTTGGTCTTCCTGCTAATATCCTACATTAACTCAAAATTGCCACATCTGTGATCTGTCTTTCATGTTTTAGTCTGTTGGAAGACATAAAGGTGCCCTGGATTTGTTGTTATTATATGCTTACGTCTTGGTGGTCATGTAGAATGTCCACCAAAGACATGTTCCCTTATTGATATCATGTTGTGTTTTAGCCGTAACTTGTATGCCAGCACTTGGACATGAATCTTTTGCCTTCAAATTGGTCACCCAAATATTATGTCCTTTAAATTAAAACATTATACGTACTTCCTTTTGCGTGCAAAATTTGTATCTTTTAACAAAACTTATAAGTCTTAATAAGTTGAATTGGTAAAGTCATCTTATCTTATGATATGACTCTTAATAAGAAAATTAGTCTGTATTCACTATGGTAACTAAAGCTTATTCAACCAACTTCGGAAAAGCCAAAAAAAAGAACAGGATTGCCCCCTTCCCTAGGCAAGAATAGTGTGACTCTTCAACGTGGTGTCAGGTTTAGACCTTTATGGTATAGATGGAAACTTCTTTATGGTATGTGTCCTTGATACCTTGAGTTATTTGGTTCATTTTGCATTGGTTATGTATGCTGTGAAGTCTGGAAAAAAAATGTATGCTATTTATAAAGATAAAAATATGTTCTGTCAATTTCCCTAAAAAGGTTTCTTATAAATCCTTTCTTGACAAGGCGGCGAGCTGAAATTTTTAAAAGATCGATCATCTGACCATAAGCTACTCAAGGTGTTATGACTCACATTGACTAGCTGTCTGGAATCACAGCAGTCTTAATCATTTCATGTGGTAGGTCAAATGCCAAAACTTGGTTGCATTTATTAGGGTTAGGGTTTAGTATGAGAGGTTTAAATGCCTAGGCAATTTTAGGGTTGTTTGGCTGAGATTTGTCTTGGTGTATGCATCCCCACTATGTTGATTGATACATCCCCGAGGCCATTTCTGGGGTTTATGCCTCTGATCAATGCCTTTATGGGTGCATCCCCGTTTTCATGGTTGTTGCATTCTCCATACATTTCAGCTGGCTTAGTTATTTATTAGCCTTTGACTCATGAAATTGATCAAATGGTATTGGCAGTTCTAAATTATGTTTTGATAGCTTGTTCTAGGTTATATATACATCTTATGTAAGTACACCCATCCTTAATGGTATTCTTCGCCCTTTAATTGTAGAAAAATTTTGCTAACTTTGTTGTCTGATTCTGTATCATATAGCAACCTAGGTTGGTAGTTTATGCATGTCTGGCTAAAACATTCCGGACAGTATGAGCAAAAGAACATCTTTTGAAGTTTTGTCTGGCTTTATTCCAGAGAAAGATGGTATGTCAATCTTCTTCTGCAAACTACAAAGTACTGCAAGTTCTACTGTACAAATTTTTAATGCATAATAGGTGTAACATGAAAAGCAATATGTTCTTTATTCTATACTTAGAATCCTAGGTACCCTAGAGAGCTTGTTTTAGAATTTTATTCTTGACTTGTAGGTTTCAGTTTGATCTCCTCCTTTTACTTCTCATCTTTTTAATCCTTTCATGTCATTTCTCATCTCCTTCTATTGTTATCTTTATCTTCATCTTCACACATCTTCTCTTTTGCTGTATAGGAGTAACTTGTTGAATTAACTTGTTTCTCTTGGTAAATTGAATCCTTCATTTTGCGTGTTTGGCAATCGGTTGCAGTCGTTCTGTTTATGTGTATCAGATGAACATGACATGCCATTGATGTTTCTGCAGGGAAATAGAAAAGGCAAAGCCAAAGGAGATACCGAAGAAGGATATCCCCAAGGAGGACAAGCAGTAGATGTGACTCGTGTTGAAATTTTTATCAGAAGCTGTGCAATTTCCCACCTAGTGTTTGCATTTTGGTCCGTAAAATATTTTACACCGACTATCGTTTTGTAGCCCCTCATGTAATTGCCACTTTATGGTTGCCAAGGTTATGACATTATAAATATACTTTCATTCTTCTAGTATTTATTAAGATGTACATCAATTATGCAGTAACATAAAGATACTTGAAGATATCTGCAAGATATTGTGACACTTGTTATGGAATTATTGGATTTAATGCAAAAACCGTTATAATCGAAAAGTCATTATTGGGTTAAACGCTTTTAAATGGATTTGTGATTTTAATTATTTGTTAGTATTAGTTTGGTTTCCGTAAAGGTTAAATTGATAATTCAAAAAATATTATATGAAAATTATTATTTTACTCTGAATTATATAACAATGACTTTAATGTTATCTACCCTATTTCATAAATTCTAGTATTACTTTTGGTTGTTGGCAACACAGACTAGCCTTTCTGCCTCTCTAGTGTGACACCTTCTCTCTTTTTGGGGCACAAATAAGTTTATGATTATGTGTGGATTTTCTCACTGATTAAAGTGAAATCGATTAACAAATTCTTAAGTGATTTGGTTATTGATTTAGCGTATTAACAAACCAATCTCTGAATAAATCTAATTGATAATACATGAAACCTAGTGCAAATAAGTATGTATTCATAGCATTTTTTTAATTTTTTTTTGTAAGAAATCGTAATTTAAAAGTTTTAACCCAGTTAGACCAACTCATGGGCTGGATTACTTCTAGAGTAGCCCAATATCTACCAGAACTCAGGATGGCATTTTCGCGGCCCAAAAAGAAGTTACCAACTTAAAAAGCCCAGCATTTAAGATTCTGCGGATTTGGGAAATTTTGTTGCTTCTGTACAAATCGGAATCATGTATAGGAGCTCTTGAGATTGGAATACCAATACGAAACCGAATTCATCTCGTCAATCTTCAAGCGTAACGTTCCTCAAATTTTTCAGTGGCGCCGCCGCTAACTGTATGTCTTCCCGCTTACACCTTTCACTTTCCAGTTTCTATTTGGTCTCTTCATTTTTATTTTTCTGCATTCTGCTTCAAGTTTGAATTTCTTCATGCTTTTTGGACAAAAAGTTAGCCTAGCCGCTTGTGAATGGATAGCTGAGGGCTGCAGTGTGAAAAGTAATTGACTGGCTTAACAGTTAACGCTAAGCAGTTTTAGTTATATATGTCTACTTTTGAGAATGTTCTTGCTTCTTTTCTCTTCCTGCTAATGTCCTACATACATCTCGAAATTCCCACATGTTCTCAAACTTTTGTTCTTCTTGATAATTATACCCACCAAAATAGCCCTGATAAAGTTCTCCAACTTATGCTTTACTTTTGGTCTGCAAAATCTGCTCACGGTTTCTTTTTGGATTTTTGGGATGAAATTTCGAGTTGACCTTTTTTTTACAGAGGTACGGGGACATATTAGTATGAAGGGATCACTTCAAGCGATTTAAGTTGGGTCTTTGAGGTTTAAAATTTATCAATATTAATGAGCATGCTCACATCTATAAGTTGATTTTCTCCTACATCTTGTTTGGGCAGGGAAGGAGGGGAAAATTTGTTAATTTCCATTTATTCTCATAGAGGGATGTATATATCATGTGTTTTTCTTTTCAGGCCATTTTTTTGGGTTAGTTTCTTAGGTTTTTTGGATACCAAAGCTAAATTAGTGTTTCATGCTTTCTGAAGCAGCAATTGATGTCCCTATGATTAATTTTATTTTTAACATTGTTCAAGTTTGCAATTGTATCACATATATGATTACGTTTTGACGCTCATGTAAAATGGCCACCAAACACATGTTCCCTTATTGATATCATGTTCTGTTTTAGCCAAAACTTTTATGCCACCAGGTGGACATGGATCTTTTGCCTCCAAGGCACCCAATTTCTTACATTTTTTGTTATTTTCAAATATTATGTCTTTCAAATTGAACATTGTACTTCTTTTTTTAGTGCAAAATTTGTATCTTTTGACATAATTTAAAAGTCTTTATAAGTTGAATAGGTAAAATCATCTTATCTTATGATATGTCTGTTAATAAGAAAATTAATCCATATTCACTATGGGAACTAAGAGTCTTAAGACATACCAACTTCTGAAATAAAAAGAAAGAACAGGATTGCCCCCTGTTTAGGCAAGACTGTTGTGATTCTTCAACGTGGTGTCATGTTTAAACTCCTAGCAAAAGTGTTCTCAATACATTGAGTGATCTGGTTCATTTTACTGTAGTTATGTATGCGATGATTCTTTTCAAAAAATGTATGCTAGTTATACAATAAGTGTATTCTGCCAATTTCCGTTAAAAGGCTTCTTAATCCTTTCTTGACAAAGTGGCAAGCTGAAGTTTTTTAATTTGGATAGCAAGCTAAGAGTGTTCATCCTGTTTTGTAGAAGAGAGCTATATGCTTATCAATCCACATAAACACCATTGCTCTAGGTCTTATCGGAGCTCAGAGCCTACAGTTTAAAGGTTGATCCTCTGAGCATAAGGCCATAAGCTACTCAAGCTGCAAGGAGGACAAGCAGTAGTCTGACTCATTTTGAAATTGTTATCAGAAGCTGTGGCCACTTCAACCTCTGTGAGTGCGAGCCAAATCGGAGAATAGGCTAGAAAAGGGAACTGATGGCAGGCAGTGGTGGAAATCTTAGTTCCAATCAGTCATCTGTGTCTCATCAAGCTCCGAAAATCCTATTAGCCAAACCTGGACTTGTTTCCGCCGGTAAGTTCAACCGTGGTGGACCTGACGATGATTCTGCAGCTCACCGCCCACGTCTTCCCTCCATTGGATCTCTTAATCTTCTCTCTGACACCTGGGATTTCCTCACGGATCGTTTTCTACCGTTTCTAACGGATAATACAGACTTTACAGTAGTGGGTGTGATTGGTCCTCCAGGGGTTGGGAAGTCGACGATAATGAACGAAATTTATGGTTTTGATGCTAGTTTGCCTGGAACTCTTCCTCCGTTTGCCATAGAAACAGAAGAAACAAGGGCTATGGCAAAACATTGTACGGTTGGCATTGAACCACGGGTTTCATCTGAACGGATTATACTGCTTGATACACAGCCTGTTTTTAGCCCCTCGGTTTTGGCTGAAATGATTAGACCAGATGGCTCATCCACCATACCCATAATAAGCGGTGAATCTTTATCGGCTGAGCTAGCTCATGAACTATTGAGCATCCAGCTTGGTGTTCTTCTGGCATCCATTTGTCACATTATATTGGTGGTATCAGATGGAATCCATGATGCTAGCATGTGGCAACTCATGTCAACGGTTGATTTGCTAAAGCATGGGATACCTGATCCATCATCTTTAACCCTTTCTCATCCTCAAAGCTCTGAGAAAGAAAACAGAGACAGAATTCTAGATAGTGGAGGAGAGTACATGGCTGATCCAGTTTTTGTGCATACAAAGCTATGCACTGAAGATCTAGCACCATGTAATCTTGTTCAACTGAAGAAGGCACTAACACAATTCTTTTGCTTGTCATCCTTTGTGAGATCAGAAAACCACAACACTGCTAAAGAGAGTCAAGTTTCTGCTGTTTCTTCCAACGTTCAAAGTGCTGGTCGAGAATCTGAATTTTTAAAATTATTTCTAATTCCATCTAGAAATAAGGATGATTCCTTGAAGCCTCAATATGAAAGCCACATTTCAGCATTATGGAATTTGCGGGATCAGGTTTTGTCAAAGAGAGGTCCGTCTTTCTCAAGGACTGTGTCTGAGCGTGATTGGGTGAAAAATTCTGCCAAGATATGGGAAATTATTAGGAATTCTTCCATTATTGTGGACTATTGCAGAACTCTTCAAAGTTCAGGCATGTTTAGGAGGTAATAATAGCTTTAAATTTTTCTCTGTTTATCTGGGCTGTTGAACAACAAAGGTCCTAAATTATGAAAGACTTTCTGGAGTCTTTTCGCATACTCTATTACAAGTCCCACAGAGATTTAAAATTTTAAAAATATCAGAAGCTGTGCAATATCCCACCTAATGTGTTAGATTTTGATCCGTATTCTACATGCTGACTAATTTAGGCTCCCAAAATACTATATCGTTTCGTAGTCCCTCAACTTGTTGCCACTTTATGGTTCCCAAGTTTATGACATTAGAAACATTGGTGTATGTATCTTGTTAAATAAATATACTTCCATTCTTCTAGAATATACTAACATGTATCGATTATGCAATAACATAAAGATTCTTAAAGAGATGTGCAGGATATGATCATCTGATGCCATGCACAGCTGATTTCGGTACACAAAAATGAGATATTTCACGTTGTGTTTACTTTGTGGAAAATATACAAGTTGTTGTGAGGTAAGGCAGATGCGAAAGAACTCTATTTTAACCAACATGGGTTGTGGTGCACTGGTGGGAGTACTTCACCCTTAACTAGATGTCTCGGGTTCGAGCCCTGGGTATGGAGAAAATCTTGTTGGGAGCGCCATTTGGCCCCAAATGAGCCCTACAGAGCGCGATTCAGATTTAGTCGGAACTTCAATGTAGGTTTTGGACACCGGGTGGGAAACCAAAAAAAAGGAAGAAAGAACTCTAGCATGTAAGGTCTCCTGACCCACGCACAACGGCTTAATTTCTTGTGTCATGCTTGGTTAATTAGTATGACGAAGAGAAAATGATGTAGGAAAGCTCTGTTTTAGTCTTTTTGGTTAAAATTGGCATACTATAAAGGAGCTAGAATAGATTGGATTGAATCATTACAAGAGCAAAAAAATAATATCTCAAACGGTCACTCAATTAAAAATAGTTTTTTTATGAAGTCGCTCAACTTTGTTTTACTATCCAAAAGTGACTTAATTAAAATGATAGTTTTCTTAGAAAGTCACTCAACGTTGTTTTATAATCTAAAAATTAATATTTTACCTAAAAAGTCCCAACAAAGATTTGTTATGGTAAATAGTTTTCTTAATTCACCTAGAAAGTCCCAACAAAGATTTACTTGGATCTGTTTGTAGACCGATGTTTGGACCTTGAAAACATTCATTCTTATTCCTTTTTCTCATCTAAATTGGAAATATGACAATGCTCTAATGAAAAGGAGAAATTAAACGTAGTTGCTTTTCACTCTTTGAATTTTTCAGTTGGTGTTTTCAATTTTCATCTTTTCTTACAAAAATAAAATCTAATTTCTTAGTTTATCTTTACTTTACTCCAAGTATTTTTAAAAATAGAAAAATGCAGTTATAATGGACGCATATACGTCATAATATTTAGAGTCTGTTTGACATTGCTGCTAAAAATAACTTATTTTGAGAAACCCTTTATTAAAATGACTTTTCAAAAAAGTGCTTTTGAAAAAAATAATAATTTGTGTTTGACTGATTCATTTGAAATGAGTTTTTCATAAACAAATTGCGTTTGTTTGATTTTTATTTTTATTTTAAAAAAAGTATTTTTGAGAGTCAAATAAAAAAAAGGACAACTATTAATGTATTTCTAATATTAAATTTATTTTATAGAGAAAAATTATTTTAAATATCTATTATAAAAAAATAATAATTTATTTTTATTAAATAAAAATGTACATGTTTAAATTTTCAATCAATATTTTAACTTTTTTGGGAGGCAGAAATCTTTAATTGTTCTTTTTTTTTCTTTTTTCTAATCTTGTAAAATATTATTGTTAACTTTTTTCTAATTCTGCAAAATAATGCGTAAAATAATATATAATAATAATAATAATATATAAACGCAAAATAAATTATAAAATTTATTATATAAATATAAAAAAATCTTAAATAAAATTTAACCTGAAATATGCTAATTAATATATATATATATATATATATGCTCGCCAATGATAATCTGAGACATCTGTTTGTAATACCAAATTATCATTTTCATTTGGTAATCTAAGCTTTGGTAACTTCGAACATTCCTTTTTTAATTCATTTATACACTGAGTGTGTTCATCAGTCCATCCAACAATTTTTTTTTTCTTTCTCGTCCTTCAATAATGTTCCGACAAGATGTTGATGTTTTTTGACCATATGTTTTGTTTCTGCTTTTGCTTTTTAAAATAGCACAAATTTTTAGTTTCTTCCTAATAGCAAAAAAACTTTTTCTGCTTCCATTTAAAAATAATATTACTGATCCGCTAAACACTAAATTTTTCAACAAAAATGTTTTTTTCCACTCAAAATAAGTGTTTCTAGCCTCCCAACAACAATGTCAAAGATACTCTTACGCAAAGTTAACGTGAACATTCACTAATGGCGAAGATTAGAGACCACAAGGTGTTATGTATTGAAAAAATTTATAATTGAGGCTGAAACTACAACACAGCTTGAATTTAATCTCTGAAACTGTAGTTTACCCTTCAAATTACTAATAAAGAAGCCCAACCTTTGTGCCTTCCAAAGAAACAAATACTGTATATTACATGTAAAAAAAAGAAGAAGAAATTTTGAGAGTCCAAATTAAACATTTAGTGATGCATGGTTACACCAATGCTGGATTATTTGGTGATGTTAATTAGGTAGCAGTTGTTTTAAAAGTGTAATGTTGAAGCAACAGAGCAGTACTAGCATTAATTAAAGGGTATGGGAATGGGAGGATTAGGCAAAATATGCATCTGATGAAGGATTTGTTCAAAATTATCATTGGGCTTGTCAATAGGATGAGTGTGCATGCCTTCATAAGTAGTCACTACAACTGTTTCATCTTTGGAAAGGCGCTGTACTTGCTTCTTCACATTGCATCCTTCATGAGTACATCTGTAGTAGCTTCTGCAGTACATGTTTCAATTACTTATTATATATATATATATATCTGGAAACCATCCATTAACTACTCCATATATTTAATCTATCATTTAATTTGCCCCCCAAGGATGTGCAGCCAACCACCCTTTAATTTCCCTAAGGTGCCTCCGCAAATTAGATTTAATTAATTTTGAGTGAGTATACAAGGTCATAATTGTTGTTCATCTTTGGAATTTAGAACAAAATGATAAGAAACAACAAAGTTTAAACAATATTTTCAAAGCTAGAAAATTAAAATCAGTAGAACCAGAAACAATACACAAAATATTTTTCTCAAAGAAGAAAATCGAGTGTTAAGGAAATTATTTCCTGCAAGTATCCGAGGTTAATGGAATATATCCTCCCAAGATAAAACAATCTTATTCACCGGCGTATTGGTACCTATAACCATGGTGTCAGCGAACTGCACTCAACGACAGTAAAGTACACTTAAAATACTAGCTAGATTTAGTAGTAGTAGAAGTAGTCTAGAAAATTGGTTGTTTTAAAACGAGAGGAAATCCCTCTATTTATAGACAACAAAGGGTAGTGTGAACAAATGCTTATTGTGCCTTATTGAAAAGTTCACAACCCTTCACAATCTTTCGGAAAGGTCATAACATTTAATAAAAGTCACAACTTTTCATAAAAATCGCAACTCTTCATAACAGTCGCAACTCTACCTTTTCCATTCACACTTTTTAAAACCCAATAATAACTTATTTAAATTAAAGCAAAATAAATGTGTGTTCATCCAGGGAACTCGATCGATCTTTTATTTGTATAGCCTATAGGACTAGGAGAAACATTAGGTATGAATTTCAACGAAGACAGACGCACAAATGAGTGAATCAACTATATACAGTCACATTCCCTTTGTTATTAAGACGTACGGGTTATATATGGCTGCTATAACGTACGTAATATTATGACTAAAAACTATATGACATAGAAAAATATTTTTGGGTACTGATAACAAGCTATTAGAATACAGTTTAAATTTCCTTTCATATACAATATTAGTAAAAGATGGATGATATAAAATGAATTACCTTGGGTAATTGTTGTTCTTGACAGCCTTTTGTCCATATTTTCTCCATCGATAACCATCATCAAGTATATCAACCTGACTTTTAGTTTGAAAAGCAAATCTGGGCTTCTTAATTTTCTTATTCTTAACCGATAAATTATGATTTTGCACTACTCCCATCATCTCATCACGGGACGTCGTCTTTAATCCCCCATTCATAGAGTAGTAACCAACAACAACATTCTCCATCCAAAATAACACCTAGTAATTAGACACAACTGATCGATGCTATTAATTGACAAGATACACACTCTATTATATATTATTTATTATATATAGTAGAGGAAAGACAAACGTAGTTTCATCAAAAGGTTAAACTTGTAAAATAAATATAGACTACTACTTCTATAAAAAAAAAAAAATACTAGTGAATTTTGAAGGACGACTGGTATTTGTCGTGTCTACTAGATTAATTAACGTGGAAAAATTACCCGGCGGCTCAGTCAAGTCATCCTTAACTATGAGAATTTAAAAATAGAAATATTTTGACCACCTACAGGTATTAGGGAATCTTAGTACCTCACTTTATTGGTGACAGTTCGATTTTTACCTTAATTTCGTATGAATGATATTTTATTAAAGAATATATGATTAGATTGCATTTAAGAAATATAATAAGTAACATTTATCCCAAAAAAAATATTTTAAAATGTCAATTACTAATTAGAAAAGGATTAGTAAACCATTAATTGTAGGTCAAGCTAAGAACAAAAAGAAAAAAGAGGTCATTCTAAGAAGGTGGACACGTTTAATTCCATTAGCAAATGTACCCCATATATATTTGTTCATTGATAATAAACCAGTTTATACTAGTATGATATTTCAACAAAAGAAACAGTAGTATATTTGTTCTTTTAAGTCGGTACACATCATCAGTTGTAGAAATTAATAACATAATCCTAATCCAAGTTTCACATGGCAAAGAAAATATTACTTATAGTTAGGGGGTGTTCACAGTTTGCATAAAAACCGATTCAAACCGATTTTATTTGGGTTTGGTTTGGTTTGGTTTTAGATTTTTGAAAACCGATAGTATTTGATTTGGTTATGGTTTTATTTGAAATAAATCGAAGAAATAATCAAACCGAACCGATGAATTATATACATATATTTTATTAATATACATATTTAATATATTATTTTTATAAACAATTTTAAAGATCTTATACATATTTTCATTAAATTTCTTTATAATTTACTTATTGAAAGCAAAAATGTCCAAGATGAAACATTTATCTTATTGATTTCATGTATATGAGTGTCTATGACAATTCTTTGTAGGACTGAAAATGTTATTGTCTCTTCCTTCTAGGCCAATATTGTGAATTTTAAAGCTTTATTGATAGTAAATTTAGTGATCAAAAGTTCAGTAAGTCATTTTAACTATTTTTCGTTTTGAATGAATTGTTTCTTTTATTTTTGTGTATGGTTAATAACCGAATAACCGAACCAAACCAAACCCAAAACCGATAAATGTATATTATATTTAGTTTGGTTTGGTTTTGATAATTTTAAAACCGATTAAATTGGTTTGATTTTGATTTTGATCAATAACCGATCCAAACCGACCCGTGAACACCCCTACTTATAGTATTTTCAAATGAATTTTTTTTCTATTAAAAACCTTTTACTTTTCTCAAGCTAAAAAATACATGTCTTAAACGCTAACTTCAACTTTACTCAACTTTTTTCAAGTTGTACTTTAAAAACATCACATATTCACGTTATATCGTTTTCCCAAACACCTCTTTATATACTAAGTAAGAATTCTCTTTATAATTTGATATGTGCCAAAAGACTTTTGTTTGCCTTAAATTCCTTGCCCAGAATTATCAATTAATTGTCTTTGTTCTTGACGAGAGAAATCATATCTGACACCATAACATTTTGACTACGTGCTTTTATTGATAAAAGAAATTTATTAGAGCCTCCCCAGTAATATAACATAGTTGGACAAAAATATATGACACCATCAAATTTAATAGAGTTATTAATGGACAAAGACAATAGTTGTACTATAGCTGCACGTGCATTGAAATAAGGTCTGATATAAGACTATTCATATTCGTAATAGTACTGCTATATAAGGGTAAAAATATTAAACTAATTAGTCACATTTAAAAAATATTACTCCCCGTCACAATTTTTGTGGCATTTTTTAGATTTTGAGATTCAAACTAGCTTATCTTTGATTGTAAAATTTTCATATATATATATATATATATATATATATATATATATTTTGAATTTTCAATTATTATAACTTATAGTATAGTACTTTTTACGTAGTTCAAAAATATATAAATTTCATTTTTAAAAAATTGAAGATTTCATACGCAAATTCTTGATCAAACTTAAAGTATTTGATTCTAGAAAAATGAAAAGTGTCACATAAATTAGGAGAGGGAGTACTAAATATATATATGTAAGATTTATTTGTTAAAATATGTCAATTATTACTATTAGAAAAAGAGCAGATGCATGTATATACGAGGTGAGATTTACAGTTTTAAGTAGAGGTGAAGAAGGAAAACTAGAAAAGAGCTAGGGTCTTTCTAAACAAAATTTACGGTCTAATTAAAGAGGTGGACAAGCCTTCCATTTGCAAGTAAACAAACATATTATATTTGATCTATAATTTTCTATCGGTAAATAATAATTCAGGTGGAGTGGATCATATCTGTAGAAATTACATTATACTATCCGATTTGTACACGGCAAATGAAGTTTTAAATTTTAATCTTATCATGATCACATGGTCATTTGAGAAAAAAACAGTTAATTTGATATAAACAGTGGAATGAAAGGGTCAAAGGGGATAGAATACAACCAATTTTGAGTGAAAAACAAGCTTAGTTGAATCACAGTAATCAAGAATTAATCTCTCACGTCTTATTGTGGAAACTAATTCAAATATATATGACTTTACACATTTAATTCAACAACAATATACTTTAGATGAGTACTTATAATTTATTCTTTAGGTATATGTAGTGGTGGCAAAAATGGATCTTATTCACTAGATATTCATATGCTATCTTGTTATTTTTATTATCCGGTTTGTGTTTTACCATACTGATCATATTACGTCAATTAACTTATTTCTTGTCCATATAAAATATGTATAACTGACATATTTTATCAATTTTTACTTATACTCATTTTCGATATATATATCTGCTCATGTTCAATCCATCGGATCCTTAATTCTGTATGGCACTTGTATGTATATAAAACTTTGTGATGGTGCACAATTAAGTGTACATCAACATATGCGTCATGAATTGTGTCTTTTTGAAAATATGTCACTTGAAGTGCACAAGTTTGAATACTATGATTTTAGATATCATGTCTATTTGAAAATAGTAGGACAATTACGACTAGTCCAATCTTTGAAATGTTGTGTCTGCGCACTATATATATATATAGTGAAAATACTCATTAGAACCAACAAGGGTTGTGGTGGAGTGGTAAGTACTCCTTCATCCTTAACCAAGAGGTCGTCTCAGGTTTGATTCCCCTTGGGTACGGAGTCACCTATGTTAGGGAGCGCTTTACCTCAATGTGGAACTTCCCGACATGAATCCAAATTTAGTCGGGCTTCAATGTGGGTACCGGACACCAAATGGAAAATCAAAAAAAAGAAAATACTCATTAGTAGATAATGTCCTTCTCGAAGCACCCATGAGTGAATATATGTTTGATAGAGAAAGCCAACAAATTAGTTGATTTATTTTGAAGTACAATAGAATTAAACTAAGTATTAGTCTTTTATGTGAATTTTAACCTATGTATATTATTCAAAAGTAATTTAATAAATTTTACATATAACTTAACGTCAATGATTATCTTATGAAACATATCTTAATTCCAAAATCTGAAAAATTCTTTTAGCAAAATATCTAATGAACTATACATTTTTTTTTTCTTTTTTTGTATTTTTCCCCAAGTCGCATTAAGATAAAAGTGGTATCTCTTCATATCATCTAAACTAAATTTGACATCTCAACCAATTTTTGATTTGTTGCTTTTATATTTTAATATTTTTCTAGATATTTTATCAATCTAAATACTGTTGGATATACAAATGATATCTCATCTTGATAGATTACAGAAAAAAAAAGGTACTTAAAAGTTATAGAGATGCATTTAATAGTGTGAAAACAGTATAAGTTGATTCAAAATGATACCATAATATGTTAAAGAATTGTTATCAATATAATAAATTATTTGAACCATAAAATTGATATCATCTGGAATTTAATTTGATAGAGAAATTATTGAATGTACAACCAAAGACTAGCGCATGGATTTGTCCAAAATGAATATCACATGACTATATTAATTTTTTTATTATTATGTTAACCCAACAAATTTGAGGAGTCATATATGCATTTTATTCTTAAAAATCATAGATGTTGAAGATGTCTCAAATCAAATGAAAAATAATTGTATTAGGCTTAGATTTAATCGCATAAATGCCCCGAAAACAGGGTGGTTTTTATTTTGCCCTTTAAAATCGATGATCTATAATTTTTACGCTTTAAAACTTAAAGTAAAAGAAAATAGCCAAAAAAATGTCCGCGACAATGAAACAATAAAAATTTTAGAACCCAAGTCCAGTTAAAGTTATACCCCATACATAAGTTCAATAACATGAAGTTATGTTGTTGGACATAAGTTCACTGATACAAGTTATTTTGAAGGAAAAAAATTATATCCAAGATACAAGTGTAAGTGCAGTGACATGAGTTATGCTTGAAGGCAAGAAAAAAAAATTAACCTCTAGGCACAAGTTATGCCCCAAAATAAAAATTTAGTGACCTAAATTATATGGAACGTTGAAGCACAAGTTGTGCCAAAAAAACAAGTTGAATGGCACAAGCTAAAATATAAGTTAAGTGGGACAAATTATAGCACAAGGCATAAGAATTGTGTAGTCAATAGTCATGCATGCGAATGAGTAGAGCCACTTTTGATACATAACGCGATCAATTAATTACTTTGTTACTCCGATCCGATCATTTTAGAATGTAGACAGCGCAGACACAAAATTAAAGCTAGTGACATGTCAATGATTGGAGCATACGTATTATATACAAACTAGAAATAGCTTTTGATGTATGGCTAAAGAAACAATATTACTCATCAAACATACATACATGTCTGTCTAACTTCACACATTATTATTTAAGACAATACTTATTACTTTCGTAACAATTCATCAAACATATATAATCAAATCTGTCCAGCGCACACTTTGTTCGAGTTGCACAAAGAATAATGAAGGTACTTCTTTATTTTTACATAAACACCGGACGTACACCTTAATATTTTGCCATCGATCCATCTACAGCTCCAGCTCCAGCTCCAACACCAAGTCTACATATATACATGCAGTCAGATATATAGTACGTAATCGACAACAGAAGAGATTGAATGTAATTAATTAATAGTAGTAGTACTTGTTTTACTTACAATCTCTATCTGTTTTAATCCAGTGCTCTCTGTTGATGACTTCCTTCTTTGGAGAAGAATTTGTCAGATTAGCAGCCTTGCAGGAAACATTAATATTGTTGCTAATCTCATGATTATCTTCTAGAATATTGTTCTCATTCACAGGATGAACTTTTCTGTAAAACATTTTAAGGACCTACATAAAACATCAAAAGTTTATTTTATTAAATTAGTTCCTCAAGAATTTATATTTATGACTTGTGTCCCACATTATATTGGTTAGCAAAATATGAACTTGGACAATCCTACCCTATATATGAGTTAGTTTTTGAAATTGAGTTAGGCCCAAATATCATATCATCTTTACGATATATATATGAACTAATAGAGATGATCGATTAAGGTCGATCGGCTTTATTGAAAAATATGACATAATAAGCTCAATAGAAATACTCATGTATATCTTCACTAATTAATCGTATATACTTAGTAGTCCATAAAAATAAAGCTATTGAGATCGATCATACACTTGCTGACAAGTGTTCCTATGAACTTATATAATTTTGAAGAGTCAATTTTTTGATAGCATCTTGACTTTAAAATAATTAATTAGTAGTGACCTGAGGGAGTTTCTTCTTGCTTGAAACAGATGCAGTGACATTTGAGCTCTTTGATTTGGGCTGGAGGTTCTGCAATATCTTTTTCATGAAATGAGCTGCATCTTTTTTCTTCTTCTTATCTTTGTTTTTCTTCTTAAACGTCAACTCTTCTAGTAATCCTTTTTGTTGCTTTAGCTTTTCCTGTCAAAAATTGTTTCCTTTTGAAAGTTAAACTCAAGGTCTCACAGCCACTCATTATTAAAAAGAACGTAACTAGTACGCACGTGCATGTTTGATGGAGATAGTCACACAATTTAACATTATATTACCTCGGACTCTATGATCTCTTGCGACTCAACTGAAGAACCCAAGAGATATTTCTGAAGTGGACATTCTTCCATGTTGTCAATGGTTCTTTCTGATGGCTCAAAAGCAAATTCTTCATTCACTTTCTCAAGCTCATCATTTATTATGAACTTCAGTTCTTTCTCTGTTTCAACATGCATAGGAAACGTTGGCGTTGGAGGGTCAGTATTACTTGTCTCATAATTACCCAGAGTACCAATTGCCAAAAATCCAGGGAAAATTTCATCAAATAATTGTTCTGCTCCATTGCTTTTAACTTCCTTGTCATGAGTTGTCACGGAATTTCCTGAAACTGCTGGAGTGTTAGAAGCGGATCGTGTAGCCTTAAAACTATGTGAACCCAATAACTTTTGTCTATATCTTATATTTGTATTACCAAATAATTTAATGGTCGACTCTTTTACTATTATACGTACGTACTATATAAATTAAACTTGAGATCACTATATAAGAAGTCATAAATTTCAGAGCTATATATTGTGGGGTAATTTATTAAGCAGAGACTTAAGTAGTGTAAATTACCTATTATGGCAGTATTGTTTGGTGGCTCATTTCCTTTTTGTCTTAGTATAGAGTGCATCCAACCTAGTAACTGCAAATAAAAGAATTAAGGATCATGAAGTTAGAAAATTAGTTGCAAGTTTAATGAGTCAGTCTCCAAATATAGAAATAATTGGAGTCACCGGTACCTTCATATTGTTTGAGGAGAGATGTTTGAGTTTAAGATATGAAAGAAGAGAAATTTAATTGTACGTTTTAAGTAATATAGTTTCATTATTATCTTACTTTCAATTCCTGAATAAGAAGCTAAGCTGGCATCAGTAGAGAAAATTACAAGACAATAAAGTTGTCATTTTGTGTAAAGATTATAGTGAGCGGAACAAACTGAGAAATTGGATTCCAGACCCACAAGTTGTAGATGTTACATTGTGACATGGGCACACGTGTATGCTTCAATTTATATATGCCCCTGTGCTCTAGTTTTTGATAATGAACTGACAATATATACATGTTGATTGGAGTACTTTTTTTGATAATGAACTGACATATATATGTTGATTGGAATATTTTTATTCTACATTCTTCAAGAGCATCAATTTAATTGTGTAGGAAATACTAGAATATCGACCATGATAAAGACACACCTAGTACGTACGAGATACGTCCCTGTCATATCCTGAATAGTTTGTTTTCAATCTTAGCGGGATTTCATATAAATCATGTTGCATGTTTTTATCTCCAATTATGCAAGGTTCAATTACCCTGACGATTTGACATCATTATTATAATTGCTTTAACTACAAATATACTACTGATTAAGGAAGATTATGACTCTGATTTCTTAGCTTGCACCAAGATTACACTTGATATGGATGGGTGAATGGTGTTGGATGTACGCACAACGTCTTACATTTAAACTTGATTAGAAAAAAAATGTCGAATGTGGAGAGAAACCTAGGTGAAGGGTCAGGGATGATACGCCTCTCACGATTTGGTTCCCCTCCATTACCCCTTCCATCCATTTTGTCAAGTGCATATCTATATGAGAGACATGTGTTCTATTTAATTTTAAAGGTCAAGATTATACTACATTAACAAATATTATAACCATAGTTGTTAAGTCAACCAATTTTGAAAAACTACTCCCTAAATGTGGTAAGAACAAGATATTTTCTATAAATTTTGATATTCATTAATCTCATTTTATATTTTGTATTTAAATATTAAATTGTATTATTTTTAACAAATATTATAACCATAGTTGTTAAGTCAACCAATTTTGAAAAACTACTCCCTAAATGTGGTAAGAACAATATATTTTCTATAAATTTTGATATTCATTAATCTCATTTTATATTTTGTATTTAAATATTAAATTGTATTATTTTTAACAAATATTATAACCATAGTTGTTAAGTCAACCAATTTTGAAAAACTACTCCCTAAATGTGGTAAGAACAAGATATTTTCTATAAATTTTGATATTCATTAATCTCATTTTATATTTTGTATTTAAATATTAAATTGTATTATTTTTAAGGTGAGAATCAACTAAACAATTTTTTGTGATTATAAACTTTGTTCTTAAAATATTATATACGCTGAGAAACGAATAAAGGAGGTGAATAATTATCAATGTAGACAAAAACCTTAAAATAAAAGTGGGAAATAAAAAGATAAAATAAAAACGAGAAATTCTTAGAATTACAAATGTGAAATATCCAAATTACCATACTTTAGTAAGAAGAGAAAATGTGGCTACATACTGTGTTTGAAGGGGGGGAAGAAGTATGTTTTAAAATTTATTCGTTGGGAATAAAAGAAATTTTTAATATTTGAATATATAAAAATATAAGATGAAATTAATGAATATCAAAATTTATATAGAAAATATCTTGTTCTTACCATATTTAGGGAGTAGTTTTTCAAAATTGGTTGACTTAACTATGATAATAATATTTATTAATATAGTATAAGTTTGACCTTTAAAATTTAAATAAGACACATGTCTCTCATTTAGATGTGCACTTGACGAAATGGAGGGGAGCCGGATCCCGCCTGTCACTCCTTCAAAATAAAGTTGTGTCTTTGATATCATCTATACCTAATTTTTGAATGATGATAATAATGTGATTGTAATTACAAGTGATCGATATTAATGTCAAGCTCATTAATTCGATTCCAGAAAATGCTTTGATACTTTTAGTAATGTGAACGTAGGATATATGAAGCAAACAATATCATGCTAAATTAAGATTTGATAATTCTAGTAAAATTGGCACTAGTATAGTGGTTGTCAAGACAAGTGGGAACTACTAATTTGGTAAGAATTGAAAAGCGTGTTCTACTAATAGACGTGGCGTTGTCAATAATTGTATATTATACTATAGCAAAACAATAGAAATGGTGAGACAGGACCAAAACAGTGAAAAAACAAGGTAGTAGATGGGACCGTTTGAGACAAGAGAGGGCCTAGCAGGGGAGAGGGATTCTCATTTTCAGCTAAATTACGTCCTGCTACAAGACATGCCAATGCCCTCTTTTAGTCATACCAAAGAAGAGAGCTGTGCGCATCACAACAAACCGCCTAGTAGTATTTATATGTAATCTACAAAAATAGTAAAATACATTATGAGATGACAATTTCAAGGTACCGGAGAAGAGACAATAAACTTGGGAGTGAACTTGTTAGGAAAGTCATTTTTAAGAAAATTGTTTTTCTAGAGAAAAAATATTTTGACCAATGAAAAGTTGAAAAACATTTTCACCTCACCAAACACACCCAAAGTATATGCAAAATGGTAACAAAAATATTGCTAATTGTTCAACGGAAGTAAGAATGACACTTAGCAAATTAAATGGCTATTTTGGATGGAATACAACCGACTCTATTTAATTTGATGATAGACAAAATGAAGAGGGACTTGTTCCACGAGGGTTACGTATATTTCATCCACACATCTCTAGCTAGTCCAACTAACATTCAAGAAATATATATAACTAAAACTAAAATAACTGGTTTAGGCAAATTCCATATCGAGCAGTACTTTATATATTAATATAAAAAAAAAAACAAGCCTTAAATTTAGTGACGATAATTTGAATCTAAACTCAACAAACAACATGCATGCATCACTAGCTAGTTAGAAGCTGAATTGTTATATATTTGCATCACAAATGATAGAAGTTATTTGAATTATGAGAAGGGGTATATGATAAGCTCCGCAACTTCCAATACTCATTGCCTGCATTACTTACTTATTTCATCAGAAATTAAAAGAATACAAAGGTTAAAAAGGATTGGAACAAAAAAGTGGAAAGGGGTGTCAATTGTCATGATGTATAAACGTGGATTATTTTACAAGCGCTTGTGAAGTTGTATCAGATTGCTAAACGATGGAATTTATATCAAATCACTACTCCTAATTACGTCCACTTTTATTTGTCATATTGCGTTTTTTTAAAGTCAATTTGACCAATTTTCAAAGTTAAATTATATATATTACATTGATTCGATATTTTAAATAAAAAATTTAGATATTCAAAAATTATACTAATAGTATTATAAATTGCAATTTTTTGTATATCAATATGATGATGAAAAAATACATCATAAAATGTTAGTTAAAGTTCTTATAGTTTGACTCTAAAAAAGGAAATCATGACAATTAAAAGTGGATGGATGGAGTATATCTTATCATAGCTAAGTACGTAAGTGATTTATGTATTTAGGGATAAAAATAATACCTCTTCCTTTTTGTGAAATTATTGTCTTATATTAATCTATTTTAAATATAACGATTTTCTTATGTAAAACATAATTTATCTTTAATCATTCAATTTGAACCATGTTTTAATATTAATTCAGTGAAGTTTCACTTTGACATGTATGTGATCACAAATTTTGATAATTTCATAGCCATTCACATTATTAGGAGTGTACGTTTAAGCATGGACTAATTAAAAGCATGTTTTAATTGACTTAAAAGTTTGTCAAATCAGTCATTTTTAGTTTTTAAAAGTGTTTGACAAAATTAAAAATAACTTAAAATAAGTTTTAAATGACTTTTAAAAAATTTAAAACCAAAAATAGATCTTCTTCTATTTTTTATTTTTGACTTGAAAATAATTGAAGTTTGATTATTATTTTTTTACTCAAAAACTAGTACTGTATTTTTTTAAAGCAATCGACTCTAACTGCTCTTTCTCTCCCTAGCTCCCTAGCTAGCCCCACCTAGAAAAGGAAAAAAAGCAACTTGTCTCTTCTTTTCTTTTCTTGTTCATGCAAACAAACTAACATCTAAACATTAGAAATAGTAGATTGATTGGGCAATTAGGTAGTGAACAATAATTGTTGTTAATTATTTTGACTAATACCCGATTAGAAATCTAACCAACCACATCAATTTACTAGAACGTCATTGGCTATATCTATTGTAGGATGTACAAGGATCAGATACGCATATTATTTTTATCAATTATTGCCATTGGGGTGGAACCTGGATTTCATCCTATAATGCTTATTAACATGAAAAACTACGTCAAGTCATTAATACAAAATATAAATAGGGTTTAAGTTTTATATGTGCAGTTCAAAGTTATAAAAGTGAAATATTGTCATCGAATTTTAACTTATAAAAATGAAACTTCAAGACAATATTTAGAATTACAACTTATAAAAGTATAACTTTGAACCCTGATTAAATTTTCTGGAGTTTTTTTTATATTTTAACTAGGAGTATTTTGTTGGGTATGTAGCAAGAGTTAATGGGAAATTGAGGGAAGATGAAAGAGGAACTTGGAAAAAGTTGGGAACTTGAAAAGTTGAGAACTTGAAAAGTCCTCTTATGTTTTATTGAAAAGACATTTGTCCCTCATCGGTGGTGGAAAGAAAAATAGGAGAGTTTAAATATAGAAACACTCCTATTAATTGTTAAAAGGGTTGGAAAGAGGGACCCCCCTCGCGCCGTCGTCGTCGCTCGCTCGGCTTCGGAAAGATGATCGATCGAGATTTTATTTAATTAAATTAAATGGCCAACGTTTTAATTAGTTAATTGACCCGACTCGGATCCATGCGCGACCCGTTTAATTTAAATCTTTCCCGTTTTATTTAAATTTCCCGCAGTGACTGTTCTGAAAGGTTGCAACTTTCAGAAACAGCCATGACCGTTTGAAAGGTTGCAACTTTCATGAATGGTCGTGTGGATTCTGAAAGGATTGCAACCTTTCGGAACCAGTTCCTCTTGCCTATAAATACATTGATTCTTCAGATTTATTCCTTACGAATTTTTTCTGATTTCTTCTTCTTCTTCTTCTGCACAAAATTTCTTCGTGTACTTTACTGCTGTTGAGTGGTTCGCTGACACCAGCGTTTTAGGTATCAATACACTGGTGATTGAGATCATTCTATCCTGGGAGGACATATTCCAAATCAAACCTCGGATACTAGAGGGGAATAATTTCCTTAAGGGGACACTGTGCATTCAGTGGGCTTGATCTTTTTCTGATTCTGTTTTTTCCAGATTGTGGTACGTTTATTACAGATTTTAGTTTTGTCAATTAATTTCTGTTCATCTATTCTTACTGGTTTATTAAACTTTGGTTACTTCGTGTTTCTGCAAAGTTTATTGAAATCAGTAATTCTGATTTTTATATACACAGATTGATAACATATTTTTATTTAAAATTTGATTTTCTTATTGAAAAATAGCTGAAATTTAATTAGTTTTTGAAAGGATGATTGATGTTAATTAGCAATGGATTATCCATGATTTTGGAAGCATTGGGCTATTGAAGTGATTCATCCCCTTCTTAAACGTATCAACAAAGCCCAAATCCCACTCATGACGTGATTTTGGGCCTAATGCATGTGATCCCTATGATTCTCCACAAAGCCTAAGTTGACAGATTTGAACTCCGCTTTTCATTTACATGATCTTTAAGAAAATATATTTATTTTTATATACGATGTGTTACCAAATAGAAAGAGATGGATAAGAAGGGTCAAATTAAAGGTTACGTA